GCCTATTTTTTTTATTTTATTTTATTTTTTTATTTTACACATGGTTGGGACCGCGTGGCGTATACTTGATAACATTTTCAACTTTGATTGCGTCAATTCCGCAGAAATTCCTGTCTAATTGGATTCCTTGTGAGTTTGCCCCTTGACATTTGTAGATTGCAACCACATACATATGTGTATTGCATCTTATAGATTCCCAGAAACGGAAGCTGTTACGCATGCAAATCAGCTTCTCGTTAATTAAGGGATTGATATTTCAAGGAACTATAGAACCTGATTCGAATGATTCGAAGCGCAAGGGTTGCTCCTTTATTGGTTGTTATTCGTGGAAGTGATCCAAATTGATTGTTTATCACCCACACAGTATCCTTACACTGCTTTGATTGGACTTCCCCTTGACCATGATGAAAATTGTAATTAAGCTGAAATTGAATGCTTTGCTTGCAACAGATTTTCCCAGAAGCCGTCCAATTAAGCCAGCTTACCTCCATATTTCTCAGCACCGACTGAAAGTGGATTGTGGCACTTGAGGTGAGATATTATACACTTGAAAGAAAGGTGTTGGAAAGTGTTATAATAACACAATCCTCAATGTAACCCTATGAGCTAGTGTTGTAAAGGTCTATTGTATTAACAATTTTATTGTGTTAAAGTGAAAGATTATTTTGTGACATGGTGTTGGAAAGTGTTATCATAACAAGACCCCATGAGCTAGTGTTGTAAAGGTCTATTGTTTCAATGGTTGGCATACTGTTGGTTAACCTTAAACACTAACATTTGTTTTTATGATGCATTGTAGTTACACTTATTGCATCCTTTTCTCTCTGTGCATAATAAGGCTCTTGAGAGCCTCTCCCTGTACCGCCAAAGTTGCTAATTTTAGCTTTAGCCAGGAATAAACTTCATATAACAATATCCAATTTCCCCAGCATCCCACGCACACAATTCTTGCAGCCAAGTAACCAGGATTCGTTCATTCCGGGAAGTGGGATGGCTAAAGAAGTCGTCGGGGGAAGAATCGGGAAGAAGCGGGAGTAAAACGCATGCCAAGGCACGTTAAGTTGCCCACTCGAGAGTCGCATCGGGAAAATTCCTCCTTAGTCTCGTTTTTCCTCCTTTCCTGAGGGGGCGTGGCAGGGTGAAAGGGTGAAATCCGGAGACGCGAAGGTGGATGCTTCAAGTTTATGCCCAAGTTTCATTCAACTTTTGCGCAGACTTTTTGGCCCTGAAGGCAAATAATCTGGCCAAGAACAGTAGCAGCCACCTGCCATTGTGTTTTTTTCTTTTATTTTCTTATTTTTTTTTATTATTTGTTTCTTTTTTCATTTTTGTGTGGGTCGGGTCGTGTGTGTTTGTCAATTAAATGTGTGCATTTGGGGTGGCTGACTGAACATTGTGATTGTTATTATTGGATTGCCGCCGCCGCCGCCAGCCCCACAATTGGATTCTAATTGGATGTGGGAATAACCAGAAATTGGGGTGTTGAAAAAGCGGATGGGCGGCTTGTGACCCTGAAACTCGCCTCGCCGGGCGACAAGTTCGATTTTAGTGTTTTAGTTTCGGTATATGCATATATATTTAGTATTACAATATACAAGAAAACCACGTACGAATATCCCCAATTATGACTCATAAGCACCCCTAAAGTTCACATGCCACGGGAGGGGAACGTGAAATGTTATACAATATTTCATTATTATTTTTTTTGGTATTGTTAACCATTCATATTTCCTCGAAGCACGCACCTTGCATTATTTATTGGCCAAGTTAAGGAAAGGGAAAAAAAAACAACTACCCGAGAAAAGTCGATTATTTATTGCCTTTATTGAGTACTGCTGATATGCAAATTGGACAAGTAAAGGACATGGGAATTAATTTGCCCGCGAAAATATGAAAATATATATAAAAAACTGAAGGAAACTAAAATAGTAATAAATAATGTTGCGTGCTTTTAAAGGTGTTTTATTTATTTATCTATTAAATTGTAGTGCAAATTTCTTACTAGAGATTAAATTACTCTAACCTGTGGTGTCTTTTAAAATTACATGGTATTTAGAGGGACTTTGACAAGGTCAAGTAGATTATAAATGGAATTAATTGAGTATTTCCTATATGCAAATACGACAATCGAAGGACCTGGGATACATTTTTAAGGATACACCTGTTTCTTAAAGGAGAATAATAAATAATTTTGAATAAATAGGTAAATTAAAAAAAAAACAACACTAAAAAAACCGTTAAAATAATATTGCCTACTTACCAGCATAGCATCCTTAGAAGTTGTGCAACACTGAAAGCAACGGTACTTTAAGGTGAATTCACCTGTGTCTGTATGTGTGTGTTGGGATCAAAGTGAAAGTGCACATGAAAACAAACTGAAAGGCAATACAAAAGGGGGCAAGGCAAAAGGAGGCAGAAGAAGGAGAAGACTAAAATGAAGAAGGAGAAGCAGTAGATGAAAGGAAGTTGTTTATACACATATGAATGTATATGTGTGTGTGCTCCCTGCATTTGTGTGTATGATTTGATGATGCAATCTTTGGCAGAACATGAAGATGAAGGAGTAAAAGTAGGAGGAAGCAGAGTGAAAAGGGGGCGGCAAAGTTCACCCAACTTAATTGAAAATGTTGCCAATTAGAGCTTTAACTGGAATTTATTGAGCCAACAGCAGCAGCAGATGCACAGAGTGAAAAACAAAGGGGGCGAAAATGAGAGGCAGAGAAACGCAGGAGAAACGACAATATTTTTTAGGTAAACTGCGAAAAGAACTTTTAATTAAATTTCCCACAAACACACGACTGTGTGTGTGTGTGTGTGTGTGTCGGTGTGTTTATATTGGTTGTGATTGTGCGTTTAATTAAAGTGCATTTGTTGTTGTTGCTGTTGATTTTACCGCACTTTCTGTGCGCTCTTTTTTTCCACACTGCTTGCTGACCTTAATCTGCTTGCTGCACTGCTTTTGGGGCCAATAAACTAAATAATGATGGCATGGATGATATATTTATCTGTATACGTTACATATACACTAAAATCAAAATCATACCCACCCACAACCCCTTTCTCTTTTGCTCTCTCTCTCTGAATTTTCTTTCGTTCTCTCTCTCCCTCTCTCTCTCTGGGAAATCACATTTTACCTTTGAGTGAAGCCAAGTTTTCCACTTGTTGTTTTTGCTGTATCTCAATGTGCCATCGACGAAAAATGCCGCAATGAAATTTGCTCAACATTTGCCCAACTGGGTGAAGGTTGCCGGTTGCTGCTTTTCCCCACCACCCAACCGCCCAACCACCCACTTTTCCTCTTTCTCAACCGAACCGTTGAATGTTGTCGCATTTTTCTTTTAGCCGCTTTACCTGGCGGCCTTTCAACTTAATCAGTACGATGTGTGGTCAGCCAAAAACATTTATACTATATAGTTTATACCTCTTAAGCATCTAAATCTGCTCTAAAAAGTAATCTTTACATTAAAATAATTAAATTTTAATCTTTAAGCTATAAAAGGTCAGTTTAAAATCATTTATAATATAAATTAAATATAAATTACTCTATAAACTTCTTTATAAAAAAACGAGAAGTAGCTAAAATCACCCAAAACAAATTGACATAAAAATGTAAAAAAAATATACATAATTCGGAAAAAACTATCAAATAAAATGTAAATACTTTTTAGGGGGAGTTTAAAATTCTTTTTAAGAAATTTAATAAATCCCCTCAATAAAAGACACTCTACAAAACTTAAATAAAGGCTTCATCTACCACAAAAATTGCTTTATCCGATGTTTCGTACACGTGCTTATTGTTGGGTTGAAAGAGATTTCTGTGATTAAAAGTATAGGGTTTCCACAATAAATTTTCCTTGGAAATACGAATGTTCTTTTTTGAAGCCCCTCTCCTGCCAATGGAGAACCGAGCATTTCATTGGGTTGCGTTGCGTGTTAATTAATAAATGCAAAGCTTTTTAGTCGGAACTCGTGCCATGTGCAGGTCAACTTGGTTTATTGCAGAATGAATGTGTTTCCCTGGAAACTCTGTGGCCCACTCACAAATTGTATCTCTCTGGTTTCAGGCACGCGTGGACTCTCCACCACCCCCTCTTTTGGCCCCCTTTTGGCACAGCAGTATTCATTATCAATATTTCTGGGAAAAACTACAGAGGTTGTGTGGGTTGTGGGTGGGCGGTGAATTAGAAAGTTTCATCTGCAGTTTCGAGGGGGCGAAAATGTCACTTCACTGCTTCGAATGCAAAACCAAAGCTGCAGATTTCTGGCGAAAAGTGCACAATTCAAGACCGAAATATTAAGCGAAAATGTCAAATGCTACAGAAATTGGTTCCCAGTAAAATAATGAACGATGTGCTCTCGACCATGCCTCATTATAAACTTCCTGGGAATACGCTAGTCTAATTGCATGTTTGAAGCTCGCACAGACATTAATCTTACTTTCACTTACTCGCCGCGACAATTAGAGACATGAAATCAATAATTAATGGACAAGACTAATTAAAAGTGATGTCTAAATGAAGTGTGGTAATTAATTTTTGAAAGGATACTGTTTAATTTGGAGTTAAACTGTTATATTATATTATTATTATATTAAATTATTCAGTGACGGACTTAGGATTTAATAGTGGGGGATATCAAAACTAATTTTTTGTTGCATACATATTAAATACCTAAATTCCTTTCATTTTTCATCCGAGTGGGGGAATTTATCCGCCTTTACCATATTCTATTATATTATTATTTATAGAAAATATATATATTAGAAAATATTTATAAAAAATAAAAAATAACTTTTACTTGGAATTTCTTATGCAAAAAGATTGGGGAAAGGCAGCTTAGATTTAAATGTTCTTCTTAGTAGGATTTAATTAGGTTATACAATGTATAATATACATATTAATAAATATTACAGAAACTGATTAAAAAATCAAAATAAATTTATTGATTTAATGCCGAAAACTTACCATACTTATTCTTCTTTAATTTCTTCATTACAGGGCGGCTATCCGGCGCGTCTAAAGAAGGTCCTTATCGTGACGGCGCCGCTTTGGTTCAAGGCACCCTTCAAGATCCTCCGGCTGTTTGTGCGCGAGAAGCTGCGCGAGCGAGTGTTCACTGTATCGGTGCCCCAGTTGGCGCTGCACGTGCCGCGCAAGGCGCTGCCCATTCACTTGGGTGGCACGCTGGAGGTCGATCACGCCACATGGTTGCTCAGCTGCCGCCAATCGATGACGAATCGTGAGGACGAGCTGCTGGCGAATATCGTGGGTGTGGGTGTGGGTGGAGGAGGATCTGGTTCTGCTACAAATGGCACAACGGATCCTGCAGCAACGGATACCGCGGCAACAACAACGGTGGGAGCCACGATAATCAGTGCCGTCCACCAGCTGGGCGATAACAATACCACCGTGGTGACGGTCAGCAATGGAGTGGGTCCAGCTGGATTGGCAGGAGGAGGAGCAGCAGGAGCAGCAGCATCAGCGGAGCCCAACGAAAACATCACAATCAACGGACTGAGTCCCAGCCACCGCAGTAGCAGCAGCAGCAGCAACGCCACAGCCACAGCGGCCAATCCCCTCAAGCTCAACACGAGTGGTGCGGCGGACAGCAGTAGCAGCAACACAATAGCAGCAGGAGCAGCGGGAGGAGCAGCTGGAGCAGCAGCAGTTGCTAGCAATACCACCACCACAACTACAACCACCAACGGAGGAGGCAACGAGTTCTGGTCGGAGAATCCACCCAGCAGCGCCTCCTCCGGATTCAGTGACGACGACAGTCTGGCCGGCCAGGAGGGCGATCCCAAGCCCATCGATCAGATTGTCCAGATGGTCAAGCAGCGCGGACGCCATGGGTTGATCAAGGAGTACGCGGACATACGGAATAGGGCGCCCGAGGGCACCTTCCTCCATGCGAGGTGGGTCCTTTAAAATATTATCTAAATATTTATATATATTAATCATATGATTTAACTGCAGGATGCGCGCCAATCTGACCAAGAATCGCTACACAGACGTCCTCTGCTACGATCACAGTCGAGTGGTGCTGGCCAACGAGGACGGCGACGAGCCGTCGGATTATATAAATGCGAATTTCGTCGATGGCTACAAACAGAAGAATGCCTATATTTCAACTCAAGGTGGGGATCTTAATCTATATAAATTGTATAAGCTATATAAATTATATAAACTATATACTAGAACTATATAAACTATATATAAGGTGGGGGATCTTAATCTATATAAATTGTATAAGCCATATAAATTATATAAACTATATACTAAAACTATATAAGCTATATAAACTATATAAACTAAAAAACTATTTAACTATTTAAACTATATAAACTGTATTAAATAATTAATGAATAATAATCGCCCTGCAGGTCCATTACCAAAGACATCCCAGGACTTTTGGCGCATGATCTGGGAGCAACATTGTTTAGTTATAGTGATGACGACGCGCGTTATGGAGCGCGGACGCGTTAAATGCGGCCAGTACTGGGAGCCGACTGAAGAAAGTTCCTTAGAGTTTGGCGACTACCATGTGCGAACAATTAGCGTTGAGTGCAACGAGGACTATATGGTTGCCTCGTTGGAATTGAGAAACATTAAGGTAATAAAAGCAAATCAATATAGCAAGAAATATATAATTAATTTATATTTATTTTTCCCCTATTTCTAAACAGACTGACGAAATTCGCAATGTCTCACATTGGCAGTTCACCAGCTGGCCGGACTATGGGGTGCCCAGCTCGGCCATGGCCATGCTGAACTTTCTGCAGAAGGTGCGCGAGAAGCAGGCGCAGCTGGTCCACGGACTGGGCGACACCTGGGCGGGCCATGCCCGCGGACCGCCCATTGTGGTGCACTGCAGTGCAGGCATTGGACGTACAGGTATGTTTTAATTTATATAGCTAACTATATATCAGATTAACTGACTGATAATTATCAAACAGGCACATTCATCACCCTGGACATTTGCATATCGCGCCTGGAGGATGTGGGCACGGCGGATATACGCGGCACTGTGGAGAAGATCCGATCGCAGCGCGCCTACTCCATCCAGATGCCCGATCAGTATGTGTTCTGCCATTTGGCCCTCATCGAGTATGCCTACTCGCGCGGAATGCTGCAGACCGTCGATCTGGCCGGCTTCGATGAGCGCGAACAGGATTCGGAGTAGATTAGGGGGAGAAACCGATAAATGGACGAGAAAACAACTTGTATACAGAATAATTTTATGTTTTACCTTTGCTAAAAATTGGAGTTGTAACCTTTTTCCAACTAGATGTTCGTCCTGATATGATATGATATGATATAATATATGATATATGTGTATGATGATGCAAGGAGAATGGAGAATGGATTCCGGACGAGGCGAGACGAGAGAGTAGAGTAACAAATTTACGTTAATCTATTATTTTTTTTTTAAATATTATTACATACCAAGCTATAGTTGTATAGCAAAAACATCTATATATATAAACATTATTTAAATTAAATTTAAACTAAATGAAAAACAAATAGCTAAAAATAAAGAAGAAACCTAAAAGAAAAACAACAGCCGCATTAGCGAAAGCCGAAACAACAAGAATAAATATTATAAACAGCGAAGAGTGTTTAACCATGACAAAGTTAACTAGAGTCCGATTAAGTGCGGAGTACAACGAAGGCATAAAGGATGAGGATGAGGACAACAAACCGTCCGGCGGAAAGTTAAGATCGGAGGCGGACCCAACCCGAGGAGCGGACAAATCTTGTGCATTTCCCCCCAAGAACCCCAAACCCATCTCAAGCCCCCAAAGTAATCGAGCTGCGGCGAGTTGCGAATTTCCTAAAAGCAGCGGCGCAGCAGCCAACTAGTTACATAACTTATATAGCATATGCCTAGATCTACGTACCGCATATAGGAATATGTCTAACGAATATATATATAAAAAAAAGAAATCAGATTTAAGCACTGTTCAATGTTGTTGCATACGAAAAGAAATAGCCCAAAGCCCTCCTGAAACTGAAGCCCAAAACCCCCACCCCCCTAAAAAAAAAAAAGAAAACTCTCTTCGCCTCCAAAAGCTGTTAAATGTGTATTTTTTTTTGTTGTTTCTTACCCCCCCCCCAATTTTTTTACTAATTTTTTACAAATATTTATAAATAGAGCAAAATTAAGTGTATCATGCAGAGAGTCGTCGTAGTGAATTTTACTAAACATTATTTTACCAACTAAACATAAATAGTTGAAAGCGCAGAAAGCGAGTATTACAGAAACAGAAAATGAAAAATAAAAAATAAAAAAAATATATCTAACATGCCTTCTTTCCTACATATTTCATATGCCAAGCGAATCTAAAAACGGATTAATAATCGTAATGAAAATAAATGAAGGAAAACCAAACATATTTTGTATTACTTTTTTAAATAACAAGAAGATAAAGATCTATATGAAATTATGAATCAAGTCAAGAATGGCAGCTTTTTCGAACAGAAGTAAACTGAAACAAAAACAAAAGTAAAAACGAAATATTAAGTGTAATTATGTGTATGTGAATGTCGGACAGAATGCATTTTCTTCGTGCATCTTTGCGAAAGTATTATAAATATTTACATATATAATATACTGCGACACAGAAAAGATACAAGATAAATATACGTTTTTTTTCTCGTCATGTTTGTATGCATGTAAATAATAAATACATACGGAATAAATAGTATTTTTGGTGCGAATCTAAGAATCCAGATAGACACACACCATACACACTCTACCACTCACACGTACATATATCATTAGAATTGTAAAAGCTGTGATCAAACCCGAATGAAAGATGCAAGTCGAAATTGGAGCTGGAGCCACAGACTCTCCTCTCACACAGCCAGTCATAATCTACATCTACAATCTACGATAATATATTAATCACAGAACCGAACCGAACGGAACCGGAACAGAACCATTTTCAATTCTTTCAAAGGCCTTTTCCGAGAGAAACAAAGAACAAAAGAAGAAGAAACTTAACCAGATTGCATAATGAGTACTCACCACTCACCTCCCAGATCGATGGATGTTCTATTTTTATAATGCTTGACACATAATCCAAAACCAAAAAGAAGATAATACGATGATAAATGATAACTATAAATATTTTTTGTAGGCTCCTGGCTCGGAGTGGAGGAAAGAATTTATTTAAAATATATATATATAAATAAAAATATATATCTATGTATTAACACATGTATGAAAATTAGCAAAATTTCTTCAAGTGTAATTTAAAACTTAGCTAGAGTCACAAGCCCTTGTTTTCCGTTCGAACGAGGTGTAAAGAGAAATTACCTAGTACTCGAAAAGTTGCATGTGCATCACGATGCTTTCAGAAAGCTTTGCTGCGCACAACTGTAAAATCGAAGGTCGATAATCGAAATACCATTCACAAGATCGATCGATCGATCCAGCCCACCCTTAACCAACTCTTGACTAGATCTATCCACTCACTAGCATCCAACTAGCCTAGCCGCTACTTCCCCGCATATTGAATACTCGCATTTGTCGCGCACTTGAATAAGAGATACCACTAATCCAGTAAACCCACTAACCCAGCTCAAAACCACAGGGAGGCACTGTACATAAAAGCGACAGGACAGTCCAAGATCCACAATCCACACCCAAAATATGGAAATCTTAGCCTAGAGAAATGGTCGCATAATATTTAAGGGCATATAAAAGTATATATGTTATCATTTCATGAAGACAAACGAAACCAAAATACAACTTGATGTAAAAGCAAAATGCATTTTGCAATTAAAAAACAAATAAAAGTAACAAAAGAAAATTGTGGATAAAATATATAGAAAATCGAATACTATTTGACTTAATTAAGCGGAAATGTTGGGGGCTCTTTTTTTCAGGACTTTTCTCAAAGTTCCAGCCAAAAAACGGTAAGAAAAATCATATTTTTATCAAAAATCAAGATCCAGATTTTCCACCCAAAAAATCAGTATTTTGACCATAAAGACTTAAATAATGGTCCCAATATGGAATGTCATACCTTTCTGAACTCGTTATTCAATAGCCTATCGATTGGCATTCAAACCTGGAACTTTTAATTTTTCCCCATTTTTTTCAAAAAATTACGATGTTACCCCTTATCAAAAAAGCGAAAATTTGATCAAAAATAATTTTTTTTTAATCGATCAAATTATGCACGGGTATTATTTATTGGGTCGTTAGCTACCCAAAACAGTAAGCCTTTTCGATATCGGACCATTTTTGTCCAAGATACAGCCAAGAAACGGTAAGAAAAATCATATTTTTATCAAAAATCAAGATCCTGATTTTCCACCCAAAAAATCAGTATTTTGACCATAAAAACGTAAATAATGGTCCCAATATGGAATGCCATACCTTTCTGAACTCGTTATTAAATTCCCTATCGATTGGCATTCAAACCTGGAACTTTTAATTTTTTCTCATTTTTTTCAAAAAATCATGATTTTACCCCTTATCAAAAATGCGAAAATTTGATCAAAAAGCCATTTTTTTTAAATCGCTCAAAAAGTGCACGGATATTATTAATTGGGTCGTTAGCTTTCCAAAACAGTTAGCCTTTTTGATATCGGACCTTTTTTGTCCAAGTTACAGCCAAAAAACGGTAAGAAAAATCATATTTTTATCAAAAATCATGATACTGATTTTCCACCCAAAAAATCATTGGGCGAAATACTGGGCAAGTATCCAAAGTTTATGAATAAACACAACGATTACAGTTTTGCTTTTGAAGTAAAAGGCTCACATTTATTTGTTTATAATTATAGTTAATTTGTTCATAAATACACGCACATTAATAATTCATTAAAACAATTCATTTATCAATAAGTAGTTCAAAAAGCGCTTTTTATCTTTCTATCTCTGTCTCTTTCACTGACACTGTCTCCAGCTCTGTCTATCGCTCTATCTCTCTCCATCTCTGGCCTTCCGTCTCTTTCGCTTTCCGTATTAACTAATGCCAAAAATACATGTAAACAAATCACCATTTAGTTATCTTTTCGTTTCGTTTCGCTCTCGCTTTCGATCAATACTAATATTAAAAAATTTGTTTTTTTATTTTTTTCTTTTCTTTTTTTTATAATTATTTAGCTACGTTTCGAATTTTTGTATGTTTTCGTTAAATATAATCCATATTAATTTTATGCGCCGAAATAACCAATAAAGCCGAAGCAACGCACTGGACCAATTTGTAATCGTTGGCAAAACAGCAGCCAAAATGTGTATATATAATATACCATATAGACCCGATCGGAGCCGCCATGTGGAGTCCTGTGTCCTGGCCAGAGATTTGGTCAAGTGGCAGGCCGCAGGAAGCACACGGCAGCCTCCGCACGGATAGTTAAGGGGTTTTGTAAATTCAAAAACAGTTTACATACTTTTTTTGTTTGGGTTAAAGGAGAGAGGGGTAAATAGGGGTATATATATTATATGCTATATAATAACTGACATCCACAATACGCTTATTTGGAATGCACACATCTAGGGAGTGTTCAAATTTGAGTTGGAATTCGAGTTAAGGCTAAGACAACATTATAAGCTAGTTAAGTATTGGCGTAGAGTTGCTCTGCTCTCCTTTTTTTCTTTGGGGCCCCCGTTGAACTTCTGAATCTGGAGCAGCGATTAGGCGTTGAAAATTTCTCTAGAGGCAGTTGGCATCGTTTCGATTGTAAATCAGGCAGAGTCAAGCGAAGGATCCTTAGGCTTACAGTTTATAAGTTTATGGGGGTCTTATAAGGTTTGGGTTTTAAGATCTTAGGACTAATGACTGGCGGCGCTGGCAAGCCGTTTTGCTCTTGAGGTAACTTCCATTCAGTGAACGGCAAACGAAGGCGAAGGCAAATTGTCTACGAACTAGTGTGTGGGATGCCTAAAGTAGCGAGTCTGTCTATGGCTAGGCTTCTTCTCTTTTTTGTTTTCTTTTGAAGGGGACGGGTAACCTACGTATATAAATAACTACAGTACAATCGGGGTGGGGTGTTGCAGAAATCCCAGTATAATTTAGGCGCCTAGAAATAGCTAACAACTAATTTTTTCTCAAGGGAAACGAAGTAAACTTCAAATTTCGTTTATTATATCTAGGGATTAGCATTCAAAAAATTAAATTCAATTGATTTTAAATAGTTTTCTCAGAGATTTCTGCATCACCCCGAATTCCTAGACTTAGGCAAGTTCTAAAAAAAACTTCTAAAATCGAAATAAAGCGTTTTTTTTTTTTGGGTGCAACAAAGTGCGGCGGCTGAGGTGCAATAATATCACGTGCTGCCTACTCGATGCCGAACGTGTTGGTCTCCTCGACGGCCAGCAGCAGCTTCTCGTAGAGCAGCTCGGGCGTGGGATAGGGCGGCAGATCCAACCGATTGAAGCAGGTGTGTGCGCGGGGCAGGGCATTCGGTTTGCCCCACTTCTCGATGCAAAAACGCCGCGGTCCCGTCGATCCGCGCAGCGCGGAGAAACCTTCGTACGGAATGCTCGAGGTGCCGGTGACAAACTGCAGCAGACGCAAACGCTGCTCGTTGCTAAACCGCTCGATGACCTGCCAGAACCACACGATCACCTGGTGGTTGTCGTGATACCCCGACCGATACTCTGTGTTCAGGCGCCAATCGTTCGTGTCGATCTCGGCGGTTCCTGCTATCACCAGCTCTAATTCACGGGCATCGAAGACGGAGACGAGCCGCGAGTCGACCACCTCGTAGAAGCCGCGCACCAGCGACTCCGTCTGCTCCTGAACGCCTCGCTCCAGCCGCCACTTGATCATCCGCTCCAGATACTCCTTCTTGTTCTTCTCGTTCACAATGATGTTCTTGCCGCCCGGCTTCAGTTCACGCTCCACCACCCGACCAAGCAGCTCCTCGGTGACGCAGAAGGTCAGACCGAGATCCACGCCCGTTCCAATGTCATTGTCGCGTATCCACTGCAGCGACTGATGGAACTCATTGTCCAGCGACTCCAGATCACTCAAGGCGACGGGCAGTCGCAGGAGAGCCTTGTAGAAGGGCCGCGTGAAGAAGGCGTCCAGCAGATATTGATGGACGAGGGCCAGACCCAAAACACGACCACTGAAGCGGAACCAATCGTGGCAGTTGTCCACGAACGCCGACAGCGGCGACACTTGAACCGTGTACGTATCATTTGCCGAATACTCGAACAGGCCGTAGTAGGGGTTAAACAGTTCGCGGGAGAGCAGGAAGAAGAACTCGCGGGAGGGTCCGCCGTAGTCCAGGCCCTCCTCCGTGTCCCACAGGACGGCGAGGCGGCCGCGCTGCAGGTCCTTCTTGTTCGCCGACATGATGCGACGGAAGGCGTCCTCCAGCAAATGGCTGCGTCGGATGTGGAGTCTGTGTGAAAAGGGGATTTTAATTAATAATAATAATAACTAATAATAATTACTAATAATAATAAATAATAATTAATGTACACTTGATATGAAACGATCATCGATTTGAAATGCTTTGATATCAGTTTTCACTTGATATGCTCAAAATGCAATTGCTTATTAATTTCTTTGGTGAAATCAGAGAATCTCCGAGAAAGAGAAATCGGTATTGGCAACGTTTTGCGTATAAATACCAGAAATTTACCAAGCGCATTTCAATTTGATCCCGCATTTATGTGCTTACAATTTTGACTTGATATGCTCGAAATGCAATTGCTTATTGTTCTCTTTCCTGATTTTTTTTGGTATTCCAAACGGAATGCGTATAAATACCAAAAATTTACCAAGCGTATATCGATTTGATCCCGGCGTGTTTTTTTTTGTGATTTAGGTTACTTTAAGGTTAATCTACTTACTTTAGCTTGTGCGGCCCCTGGCCATAGCCCTTGGACTCCAGCTTGCGGTAGAAGCTGCGCAGCTTGGCCTCGAAATCCCTGCGAAACGGCGGCGGCGCCCGCTGCGGCATCCGGGAACTGAGCACCGGCGATCCCTGGGGACTGCGCTCTTCAATAGGAACATAGCTCATGATCTCCTGCTCAAACAGGCTGCGCAATGAAAATAGATAGGTAGACAAAGTCAAATTAGTTGCAGTCGGTGCAAAAAGCGATTAACTACGGGGCTCGAATCATAAATCTACGGCCATTGGTGGCGTCATTTTAGTGACTCCACTCCAATGTGACAACTAGCGGTGCTTTTGACTGCTCATGGCTAATCCGTCAATTGATTGGCCCACGCAGTACATCCACATCCCCGTCTGACAGCCCGGAAAGGACGCCCGGCCAACAAACATGGAGTGTTCAAATAAATAGCGTTGATAGCGGATAAAGGAGATAAATGCGCTTCGGACTTTGGAAGATTAAACCATATGGCAGCATGGGCACCGCGAGAAAATCGTAGAAAATTGAAAAAATATGCCTAGAGAGCTTTTTTTTAATATTATTGCTTATAGTTGAAAATTTTGCAAATCTTCTAATTTTTATGGGTTCTAAAAATACATATTACAATTAATTAGAAAGAACCTTTAGTATCCTATTAAAAAAAAGAATAATAATAAAATTAAATACGATAGCTAATTAGAAATGGATTATGTTATATCATATTTTCAAACTAATTTTTTAATTATAAACAAAATATATAAAAATATTGTATCATATTTGAAAATCCTTTAATATTTATAGAATCCAATAAGATATAATCTTCAGTAATTAACTATTACATTTTAGTACAAGACCTTAATATAAATGGTTATATATTATATCATTTTTGGTATCCTCAAATCATCTAATATAAATGGAACCAAAACAAAATCCACCCAAATAATTAGTTAAAATCTTTGTTAACATCCTAAAGAACCCATAAAATGACTGGAAAATGCTATTAGTAATCACTTAAAATACCACAACTAATTGATCTCTATAATGATGGCGAAATTCGAACTACGTATCAAGCTAAGAACACTTGTTCAGACTGAGGAAATCATACGATTGCAGCTGGCCGATACGTCACCCGGCGACATCTAACATCTAATATCTAGCGTCTATATAGAACCCCGATTTGCATTGAATTCAGTGGCGGTGATGAAATCAGACCAGAGATGACCAGCGCAAAAAGGTCGCGAGGGCAAGTGATTTGTCATGGGCATTAATATGTGAGTGCCTTGAATGCACAATTTGGAAGAGCCTCTTCTGACTGATTCTTTCGTCTTTCTTCCGCCCAAAAAAAAAAAGAAAAAAAACGATAGACCCTCAAAGTTTTCCCACCGCCAGGCGGAAGAATCGCTCGATTTGCAATCAATGCAATCGATTAGGTCAAAGGCGACCTTCGCCCAAAGTCAGAACAACTCAGACTTTTCCTTCCAGCTTTTTATTTCTTGTTCATTTATTGGCCATAACTAACTATTCCGATTCTAAGTAGTTAATCCATAATTTAAATTGCTATTTGGTTGCGCCTTTTGCCTTTTGCTTTTGCTATTGCTATTGCTTTTGCTCCGACGGCCTTCAACTTGAAATTGAAAATTGGCCAATTAATAACGCAAATTATGGCGGTCAACCGCAGTTGTTGTGGGTAGGTGCTATATATTTTTTTGGGTTCGGTGGGGAGGGGTTTAAATCATATCGTATTGGATCGGAATGGATAGTAGTGACAAGAGTAACAGTTTTGCCTGCAATTATCGCTTCGCTCGGAAGTGACTAATTCCCCTCTCAATTCATTAGTAATACGTTTTTCGGCACTTTTGCGGCAGATGGAAATGGATCAATTAATGGACTGCCGGCTGCCGTGTCAAATTACTTTCAAATTTAATGAAAAATTCTTGCAAAATTATTGGAACAACAGGAAGCTGCAATTAACGCAAATTAACTGCGGGAAAATGAGAACCAATCGAAAATAGAGAAAAAAAAAAAGCGCGCAAAAGCAATTGGTTTTTGTGATGGTGGTGCTGCTGGTGACACCCACTTATCCACCCAACAAAGAACCATCGATCCCCTTTGTGCCGGGGGGCCACTGAGCGATATTTATAAATTTATAAACACACTTGATGCAATCGCAATAGGCTGCCCCCGGTCACTGACTTTTCCTCGAGAAAGAAAGCCCATAAAAGTGCGGAAATACTAGGGATTGCCTTTGATAAAGTCGTTGAGGGCATTATCTGAAGAGCAACTCTTTCTCTAGCGATGATAAAATATTTGTGAAAACTTGGAGACATTATAAACTAGAGGTAAAGCAAATACCGTCTATTTGCTAAATATAAATATCCTGATATTTAATGTGATATTATCGAATTGTAGAGATAGAAATAATACTAATTTTAATATTTGAAAAATAATGTTATCTTAACTAAGTATGAATAAGTTTAAATAATAATACAGTTTTTTATAGCAAGCATTTCCTAAATCCATACAGACTGCAAAAATAATTCCCTTCATGCGGGTAGCATTTTAAGCTCTCTTGAAGATCTCTCTCTCTCATATAATATAATTTAAATTTTATTACACTTCCCACTTCACTTTCCACTCATCCATCCATATCCATCCAGCGCACTCCTCTTTAGCATTTCTTAGGCTATCATATAATAATGAATGCACCACCGACTTTTACCCACATTATTCGCTAAATATTTTCGGAATTGCCGCGAACTTTACGAAATATGATATGATGGGGGGGAAGGCAGAACACTTTTATGCTGGTCGGGACAGTAAAAAACATTTAAATATATATTAACAGGAATCTGTGGCGACTCACGACTCACGTACTTCTCCCACATGTGGAAGGTGTAGACGAACTTGGAAAAGAGACCCATTTGATGGGTTGTAAATCCGAAATGGATTCTCAATTAGCAGTACACTAAATTCACAAAAAGCCAGGCACCGAAAAAAAACAGAACACCAAAATAAAAAAACGGAAAACTGAAATCACAAAACGATAACTTTTTTGGTCAAATCGAATCCCAATCCAACTGAAGCAGGCAGACGACTGATTTGGGGTGCCCATTCTATGCGATTCAAACCAGATGCACTGGGGGGCAGGAGGAGGAAGGGGCGACAGATACCACGATAAGCTGATAAGGAAGGCGGCGATAATGGAGCCTTAACCCATTTAGGTTTTCGGCTGTGTTTTCACAACGATTGGAATACATATTTAGGGGTTTGTATTTGGGGTTCAGTAACCATGAATATGTATTTCATATTATTATTATAAAAGATATTAGAAAAAATGTAATGGGTTTTTTTTTATTTCCAAGAATATATTTTCCCAATAAAAGAGTTATTTATTTATATTTTAATAGGAAATTGAATATGTTTTCCATATTATATCATTTTCGAATATTAAAAAGAAATAATATTTTAAAAGACATTAGAGAAATTGAATGGGTTTTTAATTATTCCCAAGTATATATTTTACCAATAAAACATTTATTTAATATATGATCTTATAACTGCGGCATTAGTCTTTCAATGTCTTTAAGCAAACACTCCTCATAAAACTCTTAGGCAAGCTATTAGAAATCTAATCCGAAATAATTCAAATAGTTACAACACTCGGCCTTTTTATTGGTGAAATCTAAACCTGATAAGCCATAAACTAAGTGCTCGGGGAGTCTGCTCAAAGTAATTGTGTAATGTAAACGAACCACTTGAACCGAACCCAACCAATAATATCCTTGGGGGCCTAGAAATCCCATGGAACTCTGCAATCGGACACTCGGCTTAATAATAAGAATTTTCTTATACGATGGATTCTGAGTTCCCACATCCCCCCAAAACACAAATTACTCATAATTTGTGCAAACTGTTTACTTGGCATTCCACGGCATTCCTGCCATCCGAAGGCAACCGGAGTTGCATCCAGATCGGAAAGCTGCAACGTGGGAATGGAATGGGAGCCGGCAGCAGATGGAACCCGATCTGCGCGGCTAGAAAAAGTGCACGGCCGGCGGAATGGTAAACAAAATCGGATGCAATGAGCCAACGGACAGGATGTGATCTCCCATCTCCCGCGTTTTGCATGCGCTGCACTTTTCAGATGCGATTTTCTGTGGGAAGTGCTTGGGAAACGGGAGACTGGGACAATAGATGAGTAAACAGTTCTGGGAAGTATCGGAAAAAAGGAAATATAATGTGTGAAACGACAAAAAAGAATACTTTAAAAATAAAACATTCCTTAAAAATCTACAAAATAGGTTAGGATTAAAAATAGAGGGAACTAAGATCTATTACAAGAGACATTAACTTCTGAAAATATATAATATTTACCATTTTTCAGATTTTAAAAGATTCCCTATCCTATAAAAATAAAACACAATTTGGGGTTCCTCAAAAAAAGTTTCATGAATTAAATAAAAAGTAAAAAGTTCCCTAAAACCGATCGATCGATAATATAGGGGTACTTTACAACCACAAAACGATGACTAAACGAGAACAGGGTCACCGGGCCCTTGTCAAGGGGGATTTCCCAGATGGTTTTTAAAAGGGGTTCGATTACTGATTACCGAATAATGAATCTATAATACTTACACGGCCCACACGATGTAGGCAGCCTTCGAAAGAAAGCCCATTTTGTTGTGCGCCTAAAAGAGCCTTAGGCGCCAAAAGGTTTAACATCACTGAGATCACCGGCGATCGAACCTTTCGGATATTTCGGGTATATTCTGATTAAAACGGGTATTTAAAAAAGGCGCGAAACGGTTTTCGGTATCGGTTATTATCGGTTCGTTTAACGGGAACGGGTGAGAACGATGTGTGCTCGCGCTGCGACTGTTGAAATGCTTCTGCTTTCTGGTGATAGAAGCTCACTATCCGACAAACGGAACGAAGTCGCAACGGAGGCAGAAGCGGCAAAAGCGGCAGCGGCGGCCAAACGAACGGAACGAAGCCGGCGGAGTCACAGATAAACAAAAAAACAAAATATATAAAAATATATAACAACAAAAATAAAAGTAAAAGTAATACAAAACAGAGCTCCAAACTCTCGCTTTTCACCACAAAAAAATTAATAGAAACAGGGTGGTGGTTTATGCTCCTCGATACGCGATATCAAAGCTAGTACA